GTGGATATTGTGGTAGAGGAAGAGTAATTTTTCGTAAGATGGAGAAGTTTGGTTCTGGTTGAAGAATTCGCAGTCGAACTGATTTTTTCAGGTGAAGAAATTTTGGAGCTTCGTTCGTTACACCAAAATTCGTGTCAAAGTGGAGATTGTTAGAATTTGGGTGTGACCTGAATTTTTTGATGAATATAATTGAAAGTTCTAATTAAAATGAACATTAAGAAGAATTCCATTTAGAATTCTATTTGAAGTTTATTGGCAAATTTTAATTGAAGTTCTATGTGGAAGTGCTATTGGGAGTTGGAATTTGTGTTGGACTTAAATAGATCAAGATAAGGAAACTTTTGAGAATTTTTTTTCATCTCCAACTCTTTTTCTAAGGTTTAGATTGTCCCTATATATATTTGAATCTTCTTCCAATTTATGTATTACTGATATTGTATTTTTTTCTCCGTTGGTTGTCAATTAATGAAATTACTCGATTCATCTGCTAGTTTTTTCTTGCTTTAATTTTGTTATTGCTTGTGTGATCAGTACTTCATATTGTGTCATACTTACCTTCCCATTTTCCCCAACGGGGAAGTGGACAAAATTGAACAGAATTTTATTCCAGTTCATAGTAAGCAAATCACTTATGTTCCTATAATATTTTCATGAAACATAGAAGCATTTTGATGGCGTGTACTCTGTAAGGAGTGGGTGTCGTATTCATATCGGAGAGATGGGAGATGAGTTTGGTCCTTCTAACCCTCCGTGAATGCTCTATTTGATCAGCTCTAGGTACTTCAAAGTCTCAAGTCTGATTTTAGATATGCAGCAAATGTAGTGTCCTATGTGATTTTATAGCTTATTATTATTAATATTATTTTAACTCAATTTCAAACAAATAAACATGGGATCCATAATTGTTATAACTTTTTAATTATATATTTTATCAGCTTTAATTAAAATTTATTAAAAAGAATTATTTTTGTCCAAACCAAACACGGGCTTAATTGTATTGTCAATCTTAAAATCTCAACTTTCAAACATTTTGAAGCCCATTGTTCATTTTATTGCTAATATCATTGGGAGTCTGTTTGGGAGTAATTTTGAGAATTGATTTTTTGACCGTTAGGAGAAAAGTGTGGTCCACCTATGAGAGAAGAGTCAAATATGACGACTGAAATAGTAAAATAACGATCAAAAAATCAATTTTTTTGGGTGAAAAAATCGGGCCCCAACCAGGCCCTGGATCTTTTTATGTTTTAGAAAAAATTTAAGGAAAAATTCTAAATCCTACATATAAAGACTACCATGCATAAATAAGGTGAATTAATTATAATTTCACATATCAAATGTTAATTAAATTTTAGTAAATTAATTAATAAAAAATTAATATAATGATAGTATATCATTCAAATCTAATAAACATACCCAACCCATCCACCCTTCGAACCCTATACAATTTCCCCCCTCTCCCTTATATCTCTCTATCACAACGGATCAACAACGTCAACCACCCCACCCTCTATTCTAGCAACACAAGAAGATATTCGACACCACTGCAAAAGCGAGCCCCTACGGGACTCTGCCTAGCAACGTTGGTGCTGCTACAGGTGAATGTTGTTTTCACCATCCTCTTCGAGCTGTCGTTCTTCACCTTCGACACAAAGTCACAAAAAAATGGTTGTGATATTAGTGGTGGTGACGATTAACAAATGTGATCAAGTCTCTCTTCATTATGATTATCTGTAACCTGTGTGAATTGTAATTATATGCGATCAAATTAAAAGTGACTTGGGTTGTATACTGTCACAAATTAGACTAATATGATCAAAGACAATCACAACGAAGATAAATTTTGTCATAATTATTCATAGATAACATAGGTCAGTGACTTGGTTGCATATAGTCACAAACTAGACTGTCCGAATCACAAACAATCAAGTTAAAAATAAATTTGATCGCGATTAGTCATAAATAACACATGTTTGGTCACAGACAATAAATCTGGTCACCTACAATACACCATTACTGCCATCACATGGTACCACATAGTATCCAAAATGTTGCTACCACCTCATCACCAGTCAGCACCACGACACATTAAATTCAATGCATTATCATCACCTACAATGCACCTTCATCGCCACCACAATTCTATTTCCTAAACATAGTTGTCACCTCATCACCATCACCTGCAAAGTTATTTGTGTTTGTAAATGTATATACACGGAGAGAGAAAGCTTTTGTATAGAGAGAGCATTTTGAATATATATATATATATATATATATGCGTGTAATTAGAATTACCACCCGATTTATAAAACTATTTTGTAATATTGTTGATTGTGAAATGTGAATTTTATAGTGTAGTGGTTGTGTTTTGTTCCCAAAATTTAATTAGTCAATTTTTTTTAATTTTAAAACAAATTGAACGTATTTCCCATATATTCGAGATTCCTCTAGACAATTTAGTGGTGGAGCCGAAGGGGACCACGGGGACTACGAACGTCCCTATAAAATATTGAATTTTTTTTTTTTAATTTATGTAGAATTTTTAATTTTTTTTTAATACATACATAATATATGTATATTTTGCTCCTTAAACAATATTTTCTCCCCTCACCTCACATATTTCAGGCTCCCCGAAATATCGTGGATGAAGAAAGTAATAATTTTCTTTAAAAAAAAATTTTTCTTTGATTAAACTCCTATTTGACTCTCTTTAAATTTAAATTCTTTATTTCTTATACTCATTTCCACCTATTCACACAATAAAATGTTATATATGTAAACTCGAAATTTTATTTATTTTTTACTTTTTAACCACGTATTCTCAAAAAAAAAAAATTTATTATTTAAAACATTGTTTTGCCAGATGATAGCTATCAAACAGGGGCAAACATTCTACACGTAAATTCAAAATTTTTCTTACTATTTAACTACACGTTCTCTAAAAAAAGATATTTGAAACATTAATTTCCCCCATTTTCTCTTTTTAATGCCCATCAAATGGAGGTTAAGAGTGTGTTTGATTGATATGAAAAATATCATCTAGAAAAAGAAATTTTTTTCCATCTTTTGTGGAAAATAAAAACCACTTCTATCCAAGAAAAATATTTTCCTTAAAAACAAGGAAAATTAGGCATATTTTTAAAAGTTGGAAAATGTTTTCCATGGAAAAAAATAGCAATCAAACACTCCAAGTAGGAATTTGAGTGAAAAACTGATATTTTTCATGGAAAATAAATGTAATCAAACACACCCTAAATTTCAAACGACAATTTAGGAAAATCATTGTAGTTTGAGAAATAATTACAACATTTTGTCTCGAGTGATACCTATATTATTTTCATGAAACTATAGAAGAGTTTTTTACCTTTTCTTAAATTAAAATTTAGAGATACAAATCAGTAGGAATGATTTAATAAGTATCAATGTTCATATTAAATTAAATATCAGTAATGTATCATATCAATTCATTGGTAGATGTTATGATGGATATCAACATTTGAAGTAAATTTTATATTCACCATCGGATTGATATAACACATCAACAGTGCTAACATAAGATAAGCACTGATATTTCATTAAATTTTAAATTTATGGTTTTCATAAATTACTTTGAATAAAGAGAATGTATCTGAAACGACCGACCACTTGCAAAATGATTATTGGAGAAATTATGTTGTCCTATTTTTTTAGTATATATTCATAAAGAAATATTTTCGAAAATAAACAAAAAAAATTCACGAACCATATACTTACACATATCTCTAAATTAATCTGACAAGTAATATAAAAATTCATTCTCCATAAAGCCCATCACACGTAAGTGAAACTGATTTACAAGAGAAGATCCAACCGTGCAATAATTGAACGGTTCTTTTACATTGCCCAATTTTTTGTGTAATGTTTTGATAGTTACATTTTGGTCTCCATTGAGAGTAAAACAAAAAAAATAATAATTAAAAATCATTTTCAACAAAATTGGGACCAATTGAGGTTTCTTTCAATATTGTTTGTTCATATTAAGCCCAATTTTTTCCAAAGTTAATTTTCAATCAAATATTCTTTTGTAAAATAGTTTTATATATAAACTCAAACTTTGTCTCCTTTTTTTAACCACATATTATTTTTTTTAAAAAAAATACTATTCCAGAACACATTATCCCCAAGAAATGGGCTCAAACAAAGACTAATTTTATGGAAGAATTTCAATATTTTAATAGAAAATGAAATTTATTTTGATATATATCAATGTCACACTCATATTTCACATATTACAACTCATAACCACGATGCACACATAGCTCTATCAACAATGATGCAAAATAATTTTTATTTTTGTGCATTAACTTTTAAATGTGATTTCGACTTTTATCATAGGTCCACGTATTAAATTTAATTGAATCGAATCTTCTTTTTTAATACATCACTAGTTACTACAAGCATTTTATCATCAAATAGGAGATGAGTCATTGCTCATTGCACAATCACTTTAGTATTTTTTTTTTTTTTTCAATTCGAAACACTCCACTTTTGTTGCGAGTATAATTTTTATTGAACTTAAACCCATTAATAATAAAGAAAAATGACCTGAATATTTTTGTTGCATACAAAAAAAAAAAAAAAAAAACCCTGAAATTTCACTGGTTAACTCCAATAATGACCACTGAACTTCTTACTTAGTGTCATTTTGGTCATTGGACTTTTATTTTGTCTCTAACTTGTCTTTGACAGTACATAATGTGCTATTCTCAATTTTGATGTCCATTTATTAGATCATTCTATGTATATGTGCATCATGTGGTAGAATTTAATTGAAAATTGATGACTCGGCAGACGAACTGGTACAATTTTCAGCTAAAATTGGATGTGAAAGTGAGGTCTGAACGAAATATTTGTAAAGTTGAGTGACAAATCTGAAAAATATTGAAAGTTCAGTGACTATCAATAAAATTAACCCGAATTTGACAGATTTTGTTGTTTATAAAAGTTAAAAACAATAATTGCGATTCTTAGTGAAAAAGCAAATGAAACCCAAAAAGCGCTCCAAAGGTATTCTCCGCCAATAGATTCACTTTCACTAGAATCCCTTGTTCTCTCTCTCTCTCTCTCTCTCTACTATTTCTCTCTCCTCATAGCTTTTCATACCAAAACCCTCTTTATAACCACCGCTTCCCCCCTTCACTCCTCCACCGCACCGTACCACCACTCTCTCTAGAATTCTCTCTCTCTTTCTCTTTATATTCATGGATTCTGCAGCAACTACTTCTTCACGAAGAAAGCCTTGTTTAATGGACGGAGATTATGGCCCCGATTACGTTGCAGAAATGGTACCCGGATCCTCCGTAAACAGCCATCGCCAGAATTATTCTCTGAATTCGAGCGTCTTTTATTGTAATTCTATGCAGAGGATGAGGAAATTATCGGCAACTCCGAGATCCGTTCGAGGAATGTTCTTTATTGATGGATTTGAAGAACATAACCCTCATTTTCTAGATGCGTGTTTTCTATGTAAGCAACCGCTCAGTAGTAATAAAGACATCTTCATGTATAGGTTCGCCTCTTCCACTGTTAACTCCTTTCATTTTTTATTTTAGTCTTAATTGCGATGTTTTACTTATTTTCAAGCTACTTATATTATTCAATAAATATGTTTCAAGCACAGGTAGATGAGCTTTTTTTTTTTGTTGAGAGTTGCAGAAATTTTGGAACTCTGAGAAACTTTTTACTCAACATTTCTTAATTCTTATTTTTTTTTTAATAAAATTCAGAAATTCATACAATATTATACCATTAGAATCTTTGAATTAAAAAAATAATTTATAATAATCAGGTTCAACATTTTCCCTAAGAAATCATTTCTCCATCTTTTTGATCCATATTAATATTGAAAAATTTATTTTTTTACAGAGGGAACATTCCATTCTGCAGCATAGAGTGCAGACAAGAACAAATAGATCTGGATGAAGCCAAAGAGAAGAATTTGAATCTCTCTGTTTCAATGAGAGCCTTAAGAAAAAAGGAGCAAAGTAAATCAAGTTCGCCCAATAAATCCTCACCGAACTGCCCGTTCCGAACCGGTACACTCGCTGCTGCCTAACCAGGGTACCTCACTTTCAGGTCAAATGAGCACGGCGACCATCTTTACTTTTAAGTAAACTTTTAAATTAGCCAAATAGCATATAGAAGAAGAGGATGAGAAACTATGATTTGAGATGTTTCTTTTTCTCCGTCGTTGTAGCCTGTTTAGATTACAATTTTCTTTTTTGCCTGATATACACTACTGAATATTTTCAAGGAAATGGGATATGTTTGATACTTCAGCCCTGAATTTGCAGTATTCAATTTTTTCTTGCGTAAAATATTGTTGAGTATTATATATAATTTCTTTTCATCAATATATATTCTTAAAAAAATGAGCAAACAAAACGAGGCTGGAGCGAAACGCCACGCCTAGGTGATGAGTGTCATTTATTAATTCTTTTTTTTTTTCTAAAAGAATTTTATTTTACTTTAGTTTAAAGTTTTTGTATTTCAAAAATTGTATAATTGACTGATTTAAAAAATTATTGAGTAAATATAGTATTTTATAATTTTAGATTTTAGCATGTATAATTTTAAGTAACAAATAATTTTTAGAATGATTAAAAATTTATAATAATTTTAAAAATAAGAAAATGTAATTTTACTCCTAAGCTAGTTTAGACTCGCAAAGTTGAAATTTAGTCTTCAAATTTAGTTACGCTTTCTATTTTTTCATAATGTTAGTCCCAGTTTGGTACTCGTTTTTTTAAAAATATATTTTTTTCTTTCTTTTTTTTAATCACACATTATTTATTAAAATAATATTACATATAAATTAAAAAAATTATTTTTCAACCACGTACTTTTCATTAAGTTACTATTATAAAATATATTTTTACATAAAAATAACTCTTAAACATCCTTAATATTTTGAATCGGTGAGATAGTAAGTTCTAAATAAGTACGAAATGAATGGTTCAATGGAGATTTTTTATTGACAGTCTACTATAATTTTTATAACATTCATTCAACAATCAATATATTTTGCAATTCAGAAAAAAAAAATAGAACTTAACGTTCATCACATTTTAGAATTGATAATACAATTCTATTAGAAATTACGTTTGCTTTACAATTTGACGTGTGTTTCATTTCGGGGCATTGTGATGTAAAGTAAAAAGGAGAAATATCTATTGAGTTGGAAAAAGTGAGCACCAAAAGTAGGCCCCCCCCAAAAGAGACTCCAAACAAGATGGAAAAACATGTGGTGGGAGTTGGCGACATAGTGACCGTTGTCACACAAATTAAGAGCCTGTTTGGGTTCGATTTTTTTACTCAAAAAATTAAATTTCTGATCGTTATTTTACTATTTCAGTCGTCATATTTAGAATAGTAGTATTTTTAGAATAGAGTATAAATTACTTATTTGGCACAGGTTTTTGTGAACTCGAAAGAGCGTTTTGAAAAGCAAAAGCACATTCAATTGAAAATCGAAAGGTTCGATCCGCTTCATGTAGACGAGTTTCTTGAAAATATTACTCAATGCAATTTTTTTAAGGGTTCGTTTGATTGCAAAAATGAGATTTAGATGGAAAGAAAATAAATTTCAGAGAATTGAATTGTCTAGAAATTATTTTATTGAAAATTGTCAATTATTGTGTTTGATTGGTATAATTTTTCACGTGAAAATGTTGAAATAAAAGTATTTTTTAGTATTCATTTGATTTTATTTTACATGAAAATTTTCAAATAAAGGGATAGAATTTACTGGTATTTGAAATATAATTTATTTCCATTGTCCAAAAAAAGAGCAAAGAAAATTATCTGTCTTTTAGTATTTGTTTGGTTTTATTTTACATGAAAATTGTTAATTAAAGGAACATATTTGTTTACAATTAGGATAGAATTTGTTTCTATTGCAAAAAAAAAAAAAAAAAACCCCACTTCCAGTAGCCTAGAAAATGAATTCTCACCATTTTTCATCAATTTGGTGAAAAGTGACTAAGGTGGCATGAAAGTGGAAAAATAAATTGTCTAAAAAAAATATCGAACAGGCATTTTTGATTTATAGTGGAAATCAAACAGCCCCTAAAAGTTCTTCCAATCAAGAAATTTTTTTTCAAAAAATTATATAAATATATTCAAAAATAGCTTATCAATCTCAAAAGCAATTTTTAACTTTTCAAAAATCCTGTCAAATAAACCCTAATTGTTCCATTGAATTTTTATTTTATTACAAAATTTGAGTTAAATATGGAAGGTAAAGTGTTAACTAATTAAAAGTTTTCATTCTTTCTGAAAAGAAAAATATCATGACGTCAATAGCAAGAAAAAGAAATACAAGTACATCTTGACCGTTGAAGCAAAAAAGCAAAAAAAATGAAATTTGTGGACCACCGGCCATTTACTGTATGAACGTATCAACTTTCACGCATCTGTCCAATTGTTTTTTGTTGAGATGTGACCCCACCCACCAGCTCCGGTCTTCTCAATTTTTGCCTTCAAGTCAACAAATGTATCAATTTTGAAATTAAAAAAAAAAAAAAACTTCTTATTTTGTTAAAAATTAAGCTACTAGTAACGTTTCTATACATTTGTTGATAATATTTTTACTATCGAAAAAATTTACAAATAAATTATTTTAAAAAATTTAATTTACTAATTAAAATTCAATCGATATATAAAGTAACAAAATTAAATTAAATAATATTGCTTAAAAAACTATCACTATCGTTTAAATTTCAATATACCAATTATTAGAAGTGCAAATATATTGAGAGTTGCTTTAGAACTCGAGATAAAATCCCGGGTTTTATTCTGATATATTACTACTAAGAATTTAAACTATTTTTCCAATGGGGTCATGCATTATAACCCTCAACGAATTTGGTGGCCTACTTGAACACTGAAAATGCATTTCATCGTGTGTGCGTAAAAATTGCTTAACAGTTAATCTGTAAATACGTTCACTCTTTTCTCTCGATTAGATAGATAGAAAGATTAACATTCCATGCGTTACTAAACATCATTAATTAACTATACCGAAGCGTAATTATTAATGTCACGTAACACGGCTAACATCATGTAATTGATTAAAATTAAAAAAATACAATTGATAGCTAATTATAAATTGTAAAATTCACTCAACCACAGATATTTTTTTGTCTTCAACGTAACAGTGGGACCCATATTTCTAGAAGAAATCAAACGTGGGCCCCATCCACTAGCGTGTGAATTTAATAATATATTGAGTATTAAATACGTACGTATATCTTCGGTAGATATTTGGTGATCCCATTTAATTCCCGGGTCAAAGGTAAGATTTTGGAGAGAAATTGTCTCTTGTAATAATTCCATTGTTGGAAATAACAATAATTATTGAGTCGTCAATATATAAATTTGAACATGGAATGGGTTTTCACTTTTCAATAGTTGACCTTGTGAGTTATCATATAGATTGAAATACATATTTTTGGTACATATATTTTTTAATTCAATTTCAATTATATATTTCATGAATTTTATCAACTTTTTAATCACGTATTTCATTAATTTTTATCAAAATATATTAAAATTTTAATTTTTATCCAAACGAATCAGGGGCTATATATCGATCTAATCATATATTAGTAATTACATATTTACGGTTTATAAGTTAGAGATAAGTAGAAAAAGTTTATCGCTGGCAATGGAGTTTCAGCCAGCATTAGGGCTGTACATGGTCCGATTCGGTTCGATTCTAATGAGAACCGAACCGATCCAAAATTTTCGGGTATTTAGTAAGTGGAACCGTCGGGTCCAAATTTTTTTACAATTTTGATTGACAATACACATTCATCTAGTTTAAAAATTATTTTTTAAATTAACAGTCCAAATCTTGTCAACATCAACGTTGTTAACCACAATTGTCAACAATAATTATGCAAATAGCTTTATTCAAATTGAAAACCAAATTCGGAAATTTACCCCGATTCACATTAACAAACTTGATTAGAGAAAATATGGTATACAGCAGATACCCATCTACGTACATGGTCTTAAAATGAAGAACAAATTTCTTTCTCAAATACGCATTTCTAAACTTTCTCTCTAATTAGTGATGCCGATTTGGAGTTCAATTGAAGAGTCACAAATCAACAACAATAAAAAGTAATCGGACCTTTAAATGATCTTTTTGATTGGGAATCTTATTGGGGAATACATCGATTATGTGCATATTATATTCATAAAAATATACCGTTTATTTGCGTGAAATCGAAACAAGGTTTCGACTTACCGAAATAGGAGTTTGAGAAACTAAACAATGATTATCGAATCTGACCATTTCCATTCTTGAATTAAAACATGTGATTTTTCATATCGAACCTTGCATAAACCATATAAATAAAATTAATCGTTTTCTAAAATCAAGTAGAAATGAAATCAGAAAAAATTAGATGTAAGTGATGCTATTGGCCGAGGCGAGTATAACTCTTTTCTTAAGATGAATTTGCCCCGCATCAGTGCTAACGGTTTTCCATCTCCCAAGATACAACGACCACGTCAAGCCATAGGAACACTCCAAATGACTTCGACCAGCGAACTCGAACAGAATTGCCTCTCTACCAAGGAAATGCATAAAAATACTATAGAATTTAAAAAGGAGAGAATTACAAGAGGAGAAAAAATGCTCAATGCAATTGGCGTACCCAAAATCATGTCAATATGGCTCTATTTATAGATGTAGAAAGGGTGCAAATGAAGTAGTGTGGGCCAAAACATGCATCCTTTCAAAAAGTTACAACACTTGGCCAAAAAATATTTCCTTTCGAAAAGTTGCAACACTTCATTTCTTTCAACTGTGGACCGCAATTTCTCATTCATCCGGAATTGATTTCGAGATTTCAAATATACCACGACGGTCTACTCGACGAGTAGAATAAGTTGGTATATTTACTTTTGTAATTTGACCATCGGATCAAATCCGAATATTTGGTCGAAGTTGACACGTAGTCACACCTTTTCATTTTCCACTTTTACACACCTTTTGTACGCATATGCAAATGCAATGATATGATGCAATGCAGAGAGGGTGCGAAAAAACACTGCATCAGGAAATGTAGCTTCTGGCCTTGAACCTCCTTTAGTGAAATACCATCGGATTTACTCGGCTAGTTGGTGAACGTGATGTCTTGAACCATTCAGCCTTTAGTGTAAGCTAAGACAACGATACTCACACGGATGTCTTTCCTAAACCATTCATGGTTCTCATGACTTGATTCATTTTGGCCTTGAATCCTTCTTGGTTCTGCAAGTGTTTAGAGAATT